CACACACACACACACACACACACACACACACCGAACACACACACACACCGAACACGCACTCCTCTGTCTTCCTGTCTCCTGCGTCGGGGAGTGGAGTAGATGTTGGGGACCGATAGTAGCCCAGTGCCACTTCCTGGTTTGTCGATAAGCTCTCCGTGCTGCAGATGGCTATCACTTAAAGGGTCCACACACACACACACACACACACACACACACACACACACAGAGACAGGGTTTCAGAGTGAAAACATGTTAAAACTCCCCCCGCTGCGTTTTCTTGTGACCAGCATAAACACCACATTTTGAAAACTATGATGTCATCGACCCTCCTCTAGCCTGACACAACCAGAAACGCGAGACGTGACGACAGTAATGATGGTTCACGTGCATGCTTTGCTGAGGCTCGTTCCTCAACAACAGCTAACCCGTCATCTACTGAATTAATTCAATAAACAGACGAGGATAAGAGCACATTCACCTTAAATGGAACAAAACAAAAACCCAAATTATTATTATTATTATTATTATTACACCAATAATCTAAGGCCGGAAAGGTTCAGTCGCTGCACTCAGCAGACAAGTGCGGCAGACGACCCAAACAGGTGAGATCCCAAAATATCCGACATGTCAGAGCATGGTCCGTGTCTGAATAATGCAGAAGCAGGGATTTAATGACGGCCATGAAAGGACAAACACCCCCTCAGCTCCGATCTTCTGCCTCTTTTATTTAGTTGCACGTGTCCGCCGACTGTTAATAACTATAAGCAGTCAAAGATTAATAAAAAATGTCGGGGGGGGGGGGGGGGGAATTCAGGTTAGGACCTGTAATTGCTGTTAATTTGTCGGGTCAGATTTTTTAGGCTCAAATGCAACTTAACGCAGCTGTAACTGTAAAAAGATCAATCTGCCGTCCTCGTGTTTACAGTTTGTAGCTTCCATTCTGTGACTAGTTCCGTTTTTCTGTTGTGTTTTTGTGGCAGCGTTACAGCACCACCTACATTTACTCTTTCTAGAGACGGTGCTGCTGTATTTAGGAGGCAAAGTTCTCACGTGCACGGCGCTGTGACGTAGCATTTCATCGAGCTGCGATGGATCGACGACGTCTTGTTGGGAAAGAATCCCTGAAACGTGAATTTTCAGCTGCGTTTCGCTGAACTGCGTCTTTGAAAACCACCGCCCGTGTTCACGAGCACAGCTTGTTACCGTGCACTGTTGGCCTTGCACATTGTTGTTCACGCACCTCGTGTCACGTTAACGACTGAATCGGCTGGAGCACGCTTGAGAATGTGTGTTTTTTTGTTTTTTTTTTAATTCGTCGTCAACGTGGTTTTCAGACGTGGACTTGCTTCCTGTCGGAGGAGAACTCCTGAGCAGGTGTTCAACCACAGCTGTGCTGCTCTTCAGACAGGTTGGGGACGACTTTGGGACTATTTCGGGCGAAGAACCTCTGTGAAATATGCGAGACGTTCTTAAGACTCCCTCATGAACGCCGTTCGCCAACGACTCGCCGCCCAGTGAGATTCCACCTTTACTACCTGTTGACAAAGCCAAGCCGAGCCCCCCTGCTGGCACCTCCGAGGAAGCAGAGGCTCTGGTTATCTGCTCGATTTCACTTAGTGCGTATGTATGTGTGTGGCGGAGCAGCGGGGAGAGGTGTGTGTGTGTGTGTTGTTTCTCCCCACACATGCAGGCAGGGCCCCCTGTGAGAGGTAGAGTGATGTATTGAGGGAGAGGGCTGATTAATGAGGAGCGTTTATTAGAACATCTGTGTCAAAGATGGTGGAGGAAGAGGGAGCGAGAGGGATGTGCAGGCCTCTCGGTTGTTGCCTGGAGCCGCGTTAGCCCAGATATACAGTAAATAAAACATGGCAGGCTGGAGGAGAGGAGTTCATTATCCCCCCGACTGAAAGAGAAAACTCTTCTCACTTTAAATTTATGCTTTCAGGCAGATCTTTGGGCTCAGAGCTGGCTACCAAAACCAGGTTAAAGTGGAACGCTAGGCGTGCTGCCAAATCCACCAATTATCATCCCAAATATGCACCTTTTTTTTTCACTCTATGACAATAAATCTAACAGAAAAACAGTAATCGTGGTTTTAGATGTTATGGGCAATGGAGAAAATCAATCTTTTACAACCTAAATAGGTTAAATTTGTGCTAAAGTTAATATTGTTTGAATCTAAAAAAAACAAAGCTGCTTCATGAATAAATGTATGACCCATTAAAGAGCTAATTCTGACTTCCTAACCCAAACCTGAACTCCCATCAGGGACTTTTATTGAATGAAGCATTTCAATATTTCTCTTAAAGACTTCTTTGTTATCATTTTAACTGAGGACCTCTTCATCCCCCTGATTTTATTTTATCATGACGGGATGAGGCAGCACATCACAGCTGCTGCTTTTTAGTTTCTTCAGCAGGAAAATAAAATAATTTAATTTAAGCAGAACAGGTATTTGTGGTTTCTTTTTAAGGAGCGAAACGACACAGTAATTCAATTAAATTTAGTTTATTTATAAAGCACCAAGTCACATCAGAAGTTCTCAGAGCGCTGAACAGAAACATTGACACATATGAAAAGGAGGGATGCACGATATTGGATTTTTGGCCAATATCCGATATGCCAATATGTTAAAACGTATTTGTCCGATAACCGATACCAATACCGATAATTCTCCCCCCTTGACCTACTTACAGAGACTTTCTCTGCTGTGGAATTAAAACACTACATTATTCTGCATGGTCTGTCAGTTTGACCTGCTACCAAATGCAGATGCCAAAAAGGCTGAAAATGATGCAACACTTCAACTTGGATTATGTTTAATGTCAAATGTTTTCATGACGTTTACTCTCTAACACAATGACAACACTCGAACAGTGAAAATTTGTAAATGATCACTAATCTAAACTCAACGTGACGTCATAACGTTGTTGGCGCTGCAGACATCCTTGTCACTGGGTTGTCATACATAAACAGCATCTTTTGATATCGGTGAGTTATTTTTGATGAAGTGGCCGATGTCCGATATTTAACTTTATCGCTAATATCGGCCGATATCAATACATGCCGATAATATCGTGCATCGCTAATAAAAAGTAAGTTAATCACACTATTTATCTGAGGAACCAGTGGACTGCTTAAAACTTATTAAGACTCTGGTAGCAGCATTTTACTGAAGACTTTTTCAAGAAGTATTTGGACACCCAGATATCAGATATATTTTTAGATGTTTCTAATGTTAGTGATATTACGCAGGTGGAAGAAGGAGGTTCTAGTAACGTTTTTAATGTGGGGGATAAAAAACGTGTCCTGATCAAAAATAACACCAAGATTTTTAACATTAGAGCTGGAGGACAGATTAATGCATCTAAGGAGGGAGAAAGACTGAAACATTCATTCCTAAGGTGCTCAGGTCCAAAAACCAAAACCTCAGTCTTGTCTGTTCAACAGGAGAAAATTAAGGGTCATCCAGGTTTTTATGTCTTTAAGACATGCTTGTAGTCTAAGTAGCTGATTGGATTCATTGGGTTTCATGGACAAATATAACCGTGTGTCATCAGCATAACAATGAAAATGTATCCCATGCTGTTAATAATATTACCTAATGGAAGCATATATAAAGTAGAGTATTTCATGAGTACATTACTATCCTGTTCAAAGTTTTATCCTGCATCTCTTTGCACAGCACTTAAATAAAATGTGCCGTTTGTTTATAATGTGTTACGACTTGTGGTCAAAATGTGCAAAACCAGACAGAAAGTAATGGAGGTCAATGGGATTCAGCCATTTTTAGAGCTCCGCAGCTCCAAACAGCAGAAACATCGTTCACAGTTAAACATTTTTCTTAGTTCATATCTTAGCTCTTATTACTGTGTTTCTTTACAATTTATATTTTTGTTGGATGTAACTGGGACCCTGTGCACACAATTTTGTTCCAGCACATGCACCACTTGTATGACAAATAAAGAAACTCTGAAAGTTAAACGTCAAAGACTGAACCGGCTGTTTGACGTCCTGTGGAGTTTTTACTCAACTTCTGGTAAAGTTGTGTGATTTTTCTGCACAATCATTGACAGTTGATTGTGTCAAATTGTGTTTTTTTTTTTTTACAAATACAGATATTCATTAAAACGTAAGGATTTTATTTTTCTTTAACAAACACCCCCGGTTTTGTAGAGAAAAGCTGGAGCTCGAAAACCCTGAATCACCCTGAAACGATTCATTTGTGCTCGTTCTGCCAGAAGCGCACACACACACACACACACACACACACAACCTCCAAATGCATATATTAAAGAAAAATGATAAAGATGGCATACCTATAATTTGAAAACAGATGGTTTGGTTCTTTTGAATATTTATAACAATCAAAAACAATTCTTCCTGCACCAACCTCAGCGTTCACCCGGAGGCTGGCAAGGTGTTAAAACATTCATTTTAATGAAACTGGGTGGGAATTAAAAAAAAAAAAAAACAGCTCTTTGTTTTTCTCAGGTGAGGAAAGTAAATGTGGGGGGCAAAGATCCGACCGTATGGGGGGGATTTAGGCGCGTCGCAGAACGACATGCTCTCTGTGGACCCAATCTGCTTGAAGTTGTCTCCAACAGATTGCATAAATAAAGAGCTGAGAAATAAAAGAGCCCTATCTGTCTTTAATACCTGCCTCCACAGCTGCTGATACTCTAAAAGTTCCTTTAAAGGTAAATATCGCTCTTATTAATTTTAAAAGGCGCTTTGAAACACGAACAAACTCAGTGGCATTTGATAAAAACCAACAAATGTAATTTTTTGTTCCTTTAGAAGAAGAAAACCTTAAAATCTGCATGTTTTTCTTCACTTTTAATTCCTGGCTTTGACCTTTTTTTCTTTATATTTCATTTGTTTTGACAAGCTTTAGTGTCGCTGCATGTTTCACAAGCTTTAATATTACATCTGTATTTTGCACAATCTAAAGCCCCCCCCTCCCTCCCCATCTCTCTCAATCAATCTCTCTCTTTCAGAGTATGATTTCCTCCATTGTGAACAGCACTTACTATGCAAATGTGTCGGCGGCAAAGTGTCAGGAATTTGGGCGCTGGTATAAACATTTCAAGAAGACAAAAGATATGATGGGTAAGCAAAACGGAGGGGCGCAAAAGTATGGCGCTCACACTTTTTGTCTCTTTGCACACACACACACACATTTACACACTCGCAGCTGCAATCGTCACAATATGTCCCCTACCCGCACGGCTCTTTGTCTTCCAGCAGAAATACATTTTTTATCTTGTTATTTAATAAATCCCGATGACTCCGTGTAGTTGAACCCAGTTTTATCTTTAAATTACCCCATTATTAGCCCAACTGACGCTAATGTTGGAGCCAAACGGAGGCCCCTGAACGTTTCCTGTGAACGAACCGGCAGGAGGATTAACCGTCCACTGCCTGCTTTAAATGAGATTCTCCTTATCTACCTTCTACCGATGCGCTGCCGCGTATATCATCGCAGCGAATACCCTTTGACCGAGCAGGAAATGTGGTTCCACTGATCCACGAGCTGTTTTTCTGTGTTTTGACTTAAAAAGCAGCTCTTAGACTTTTAATGTCGAGATATTAGTTTGAACCAAATCTTTTTCTTTTCTCCCGACGATGACAGAAGAGACAAAATATCAATGTTTTCACGTCCTTCATGCAAATGGTGCGTTGTGATCACATTTTATCTGATCCCCCCCCCCCCCACTTTTCAAGTGACAGCGCTCACGGACTACATTATTTACTCCTGACCTGCTGTTCTCGTGCGTTCTCTTACGTACTCCTACACGTTTTCTGTCACGCTTGTTTTCTGCTCCTCGAACGAGGAAACGCTGCAGCTGACAGTTCGGCCTTTCCCCTGATGCTCATGTTTTATTCCTGCCGAGCTGGAAGTGGGAGGGACGGTCTGCAGACCGCTTTAACCCTGTTTCTTTTCTCACAACTCTGGATTGTGTGTGTGTGTGTGTGTGTGTGCGTGCGTGCGTGCGCGCGGTGTGTGTGCATGTTGTGCTCCCGCCATCTTCACCGTGCAGGCATGCGCCAAACCTCCCAGCTGGAGGGCTACCTGGGGACGTGCGTCCTCCGCGAGAGCCCGCGTGCCAATGCACTAGGTATGTTACACCAAGGGCGCACACACACACACACATACACACGTTCTTGCAAACATACTTTTTGGGGGACTTTGCATTGACTTCCATTCATTTTCTGTAGCCTAACCCTGACCCTTACCTTAAACCTAACCATTACTAGTCCATGCCTAACACTAACCCATCTGCAATTCACACCTTAGTCCTAAACCTAACCTCGCCCCCAACCAGACTGCTCTTTATAGGGATCTGGCTTTGGTCCCCATAAAGAGCAGTTTGTTTCCACAATGCATGATTTTTTTGTAAAGTTGCTCCCTACAAGGTAACCTGAAACAAACACGCACGTGCACACGCACACGGACAAAATAATGTCAATATTAAGATAGATTTTCTTCAGATTTGCCACAACCTATACAAGGTTCCTGCACAGTCTGAAATAGGTGCTTAACAAGATCTCACAAGACTGAAACGTCCCGAGGTTTCTCGGGTTAAAAACCACCGTGAACAACAAAAAATAAACTTTGTTTGGTGAAATTGTTTAATTAGTGCCCCTCAACTTAATTTCTTCATCATTTGTGTAACAGCAGGTCGCAAACATGGCAGGTTTTAGGACCATGCAGTCACGTCATTTAAGCAACTTCCCCTGCAGCCTCTGCAGCTACGTGCTGAGAGGAAGAGTCTCTGCCACACATTTATTTAACCCAAGACAAACTTAATGCCAGGTTCACAGGGATTTGTCAGCTTCAGAAAATAAAGTTTGACCTTCTCGTTAATCCTCCTGAGTTGAAAGTGAGTTGATGCAACTTTGAGGCGTCAAAAGCTTCTTTCTTAGAAATGTTAAAAATCTCATCCCGTCTTGTGAGAACTCATTTTCAAGAGAGACCTGTTTAGGGAGCAGATGGTGGGGCTAAGGGCCTTGCTCAGGGTCTCAGGGTGGGGCGAATGAGGGTCGAGGCAGGTGTGGGTGTTTCACCTTTTCCACCCACGTTTTGATGTTGACGGTACCGGGAGTTGAACCTGAGACTTTCCGATCACAAGCCCATCTTCTAACCTCTGCGCCACCACTCCCCCTAATTTATAATTTTCATTGCCCGCCTCAGCCCACAAACGTTCAGCTCTTCCATGAGATCAGTCCTTCAATGTTTGCTTCTTTTTGTAACTTTTACACTTTTTAAACATTTTAACTTTATATACAAACATGTTCTCATAGAAATGCATTAAGATCTCTTGAGTTCCTTCAAAAATATAATTCTACTTCAAAAATCTGCTTCAGCAAACTTGCTCTGTTTGGGTCTTTTAGCTTCTTGCTAGCCTTTTGCTACTTTTAGCATTTAGCTACTTTGAGAGAAAATTTAAATGTCTTGAACTTGTTTCCAACTCGAGCAACAAAAGCTCAAGCAGAGACCCTCTCCGATGCAACTTGCCTCCCTGTCTCTTCAAACCTCTGAACCTGGTTCTGCTCCTGACGTCGGGCGGGTCAGAACCTGACGGCAGGTACTCTGAGATAATCTGAGGAGGTGTTACCGGCCGCTGGCGGGTGAGCCGTGGCTTCTCCTGCTGGCGCAGGGACTGAACAGGCGAGCGAGAGGCGGATCAACATTCCCCCTCCCCCCCCCCCCCCCCCCCCCAGCCCACATCCCATTCCCATTGTGCGTCTAATCCGGGGCTGTTTGTGGCAGGATTCCACTCCAGGACTCCTGCCTCTGTGCTCTCTCTCCCAGGGCCTGCCATGCTCTTCTGTCACCCCTTCTCTTTTCAATTTGCATGGAAATGCCTCCATGTGCTTCTGTGTTTGTGTCGTGAGCATGCCCCCCAGCACACACACACACACACACACACACACACACACACACACACACACTAACATATGTGAATAGGCTCGTCATACCATCAGAGCCAGGGATTATGAGAAGAGATGTGATTATTACCAGCTTTTTTCCTCATTTTTTGTTTTTTTGTTTTTAACCCTCTCCGTGTTTTCTTAAATTTTTTTTGGTGCATCTCCTGATTATTGTGGTTATTTGTGGAAAACGTCCATCTTTCATCTAGAGGGCGAAAAAAATCATCTTAAAAATAAAGGCACATTTCCCGTACGGTAACACCTTTTCCGTGGAGCGTGGAGGCCGCTGCCCACTTGTGAGGTGTTAGCGGTACCAGAACCGCTGCCCCCTCACTCATTCGGCACAGCGTATGCAAAAATCCTCAGCATAAGTGATTTCCTTAAAACGTTCAGCTGCTTATTCATTTCACTGTGGGTAGCTCTTTGAATCTTAAATCATTGTTTTTATCCTCTAAGCTCATAATTTAAACCTGTCTTAAAATATTCCCCAGCAGCCATTATGGAATTAAGGATTCCCAAAGCAAGAGATACCACAAAAATCTCCCTTAAAAAAAGTCACGTCTTTATATTTTGCTTCCTTTCATTTGAGGTAAAAGTGCTAATAAAGTGTTTTCAGCGTCTGTGTTCTCGGGCGTGTTCTGGTTCTGTCTGAAACCTCTAAAACTGTCACTCTGGCCAGCGCACGCTTCTTATTTTAGAAATAACGATGCAAAAAGAAAAACATAAATCTCAACACGCATCCTCCTCCGTCTGTGTGAGGTTTTGTTTCTAATGAGGCCACAGACGATCAGAACCCAGTTCTGAAGCAGGACTCTGGTCGGTTCCATCTTTTTATTCCTCTTCAGTTGATATTTCGGTGATTCGGTCTCCACACTTCGGCTCGGGGGCGTCCGATTGCTTGTCCTCGTAAAACGAACGAGAATGTTGAACGGCAGGAAAAAATTCAAAAGCAAAAGTAGGCATTTTGTCTGCCTGTTAGCAAAATATCTCATGAACTGCTGGATTTTATTGAAACTTTCATGAAATTGGCTTAACATCTACAACTGTTTAGCTTTTGGATGTGACCCAATTCAAGATGGCCGCCCCGAGTGATCATCTATCTACCAATGGTCACAGCTAGATGTTGAGCTAAAGTTTGGTGTGGTAGTAGCTGAGTCATCCTCGAGACGTTCTCTGAGGATAAGTCAACGTTAATCTTTTTGTCCTCCTCCAACAGACATGGACGGCCTGTCGGACCTCTCCCCCCCCAGCTCCAACCACAACCACCTCGGTTTCTCCCAGCAGCAGCCGATCCCGGGCAGCACCGCGGAGCAGACTCCTTCCTCCCCGGTGCCTCCTCTTTCTCACGCCCCTCCTCATGGTGGCCAGACCGGCGGCCGGCAGCCACAGCTCCCAGGCCTGCACCACCCGGGCCTGGTGTCCACCCCCATCAGCCCCCAGCTGGTCAACCAGCAGCTGGTGATGGCCCAGATCCTCAACCAGCAGTACGCTGTGAACCGGCTGCTGGCGCAGCAGTCCCTGTCGCAGCAGTACCTCAACCACCCGCCGGTCAACCGCAGCTCCCACACCAAGCCCCTGGAGCCTCAGGTGGGCTCCAACACAGAAGTCTCCTCGGAGATCTACCAGTGGGTGAGGGACGAGCTGAAGCGGGCCGGCATCTCCCAGGCTGTGTTCGCTCGAGTGGCCTTCAACAGAACCCAGGTGAGCACCAAATGTTTTATTTTTACAAATTTTGAGCTAAAATTTTATGTGGAAGTAGCTGAGACTGAGCCCCAGTTAAATCTGAGTGCTAACTATTCATGCTTAAAACTCTGTTACAGTCAGCCCCGTATGTCTGTTAGCAAAATATCCCACGAATCTCTGGACAGATTTTAGTAAAACCTTCAGGAAATAATAAGTAGACATACATCAACTTTTGGACTCAACCTAATACAAGATGGCCACCACAACTAACTGATCCAAGGAAATTAAAAAAGACTGTAATTTAGCCAATTTAACAGACCGTAGGTTTGATGTGGTAGTAGCTGAACATCCTCCCCAACGCACGCTGAGAGCACAACACTGAGCACTGCTGGATTCAAGATGGCCGCCACAGCTAATCGAGTTTAGCTTGTGCAGAATGGCTGCAGCTCAGTGAATTTTACAAACATTAACAGGTCATGGGAGGTGTTGCAACATGAGATGATCCTAAAATTTGTTCTTGATTTGACCAAAGAAGCTGCAGCTCACCACCAGATGATTTAAATCTGACCAGATGATTTAATCCTGACCAGATGATTATTTAAATCTGACCAGATAATTTAATCCTGACCAGATGATTATTTAAATCTGACCAGATGATTATTTAAATCTGACCAGATGATTTAATCCTGACCAGATGATTATTTAAATCTGACCAGATGATTTAAATCTGACCAGATGATTTAAATCTGACCAGATGATTATTTAAATCTGACCAGATGATTATTTAAATCTGACCAGATGATTATTTAAATCTGACCAGATTATTTAAATCTGACCAGATTATTTAAATCTGAAGGGCAGTGGGTGATATGCATTCCTTCAGTGGACTCAGGTGGACCAAATGAACCGATGTTGAATAAATGGTTCAACCGTTTTCTTTATAGAAGAAATTAAATGAAATCTGGACCTTTAACTCATTTAGGAGCTGCTTCTGCAGTTTTGCTGCAACTTGAGCTTAATTTTTCATAATGTGCTTGTTCTGACCCAGATATTCACAACTAAGAAAAACAAACCGGATCTTTTTGCAAATCGTCTGCACACCTCTTCATCTTTGCCCATGAAATCGCGTGAAAGCTGCAGATCCTCTCAGAAAAATCCTCAAGTCTGCAACATGAAACCTTAAAACTTGGGAAACACCCGCCGCCAACGTGCAGCTCAAGAAGGGAAACTTCCGTGAGACGTAATTCTGTTTTTGTTTCGAGCGTTAAAAGCTCCAGACTCATTCACGACTCCAGCGTCGGTCTCTGCTGATAACATCGCAGCTGGCAGAACGCCAGCAGAACGCCAGCAGAACGATCCCCGGTTCTGAAGATCTCTGCTGGATCGAGCTGCTCAACACACAAACCTACACACCAGCAGAGGACGACACACGTGTCTGTTAGCAAAATGTGTCATGAACCTGTAGATATTAACTCCTCATGAAGTAATCATTGGATCTGCTTTTACAACTAATTAACCCAATTCAAGATGGCCGCCGCAGCTAACTGCCCTTAGAAAACACACAAATATTCAAATAGAATGATTTCAGGTTTATGATGGGAAATAATTAACATTTTATTCCCTCATATTTTTAGGCAGAAATATTTTTATTTACTTTAGAGAACTCCGTATTTTCTCTTAATTTGCTGTTGCAGTTGTTTTTTTTGTTTCTACACAACTTTGTTTCGTTCACATTTAAATAAATCCTTTTAAATGACGGAGTCGAACCTGCAGCTCCAGTTTCCTGGACTCGGTCTACAACAACGAGTTGCTTTAAAACACGCTCCTTAACAGAGAATTTATTGTTTCTGTGCATGCTGCTGAAGATCAGTCGACGTCAGGTCAACTCATGAACGTCAACTTTAACGTCTTAGCGCGTTCAGTAGAACGTCGCCGTGGAGCAAAGAGGGCGAGTGAGAAATACGAACTGCCCATTCGTCCGTGCACGTTGTGAGAATAACCTTAGAAATAAGTGAGGTACCGACTTGCATTTTGGTGAGTGGCTGCATCTAGACATTAAAAAAGTGTCACTATCAGTGTGTGTGTGTGTGTGCGTGTGTGTAAGAAAGTAAACCGGCCACCTTGATCATCGGAGGAAACTATCCTTTCTAGTTTTGATATTTGTTAAAGTACAGTAGTCCCTCGTTTATCACAAGGATCCGTACCCTGAAGACCTGTGATAAGTGGAAAACCGCAAAATAGGAATATTACTACAAGTAGTAAGTAGTAGTTTATTTTATCGTATATGTATATATGTATATATATATATATATATATATATATATATATATATATATATATAT